AAACTACAGTGTCTCATTCTTCTCCTATATTCATAATTTATAGTATTATTTTCCAGTTGTTGTTTGGTAAAGTTTATAAAGTCTAGATATTCGGATTGGTTGGGGAAGATGAACTACTTTCTTCTTATTTTACCAATGCCATTTCAGTATCATTAGCATTATTTGTTTCTTCGAAATCTTCTAGGACATTATTTTTTTTTCTTTTTCTACTTCACTACCTCCCATTATTTGTTCTAAGTCTTCATGGGGAATGTGTTTCATTTCTCCCAAACTGATTGATTCTAATTGTTAATATATATCTTCTTCTAATTCTATTTTATTATTATTTATTTCTTCATCTATTTTGTCTAGTTGTTCAACTATTTCTAATATTATTTTATATTTTATTTCACTATCATTTTTTTTTCTAGTCATTTCTTCTCACTGTTCAAGATTATATATACTTAACTCCATTATTATTATTATTGTTATTATTTTTATTTTTGATTTTCAGGTGAAACTAACTCGAAAGGTTCTTTTGGACTATTTCCCTTATATGGGTAAGGGTATATATCTTCTTCTTTTTTTCTTTCTGAAATAGCTTCTTCTTTTTTCTGAATCTTGTATTAAATGTTTAATTTCGTTTATCATTTCTAAGATTTTTGCTTATTTCTTTTAATAGCCTAATTAAAGGGTATATAGATTTTCGCTTATTTTTGCTCTATTATTTTTAAGGAGGTATTATTATTTAAGTTATTAGATTCTACTTCTTCACCATATTTGATACTGATGCAAATGTTATTGGCAAGGCCGAAAAATCAGGTTCTAATACTAATTTTAAATGCAAACTAGTTTAGTATTAAATCTTGCAAAAACTTTCGTTGGTAGTCTACACTTGCTCTTTCTAAGAATATTTTTCTTTAATTCTTGCAATTCTCAAGTTATAATTTATTAAAGACTATCCTGAAGTAATAGACAAAAGCAAATTTAATTTATCTGTCTCGTTTTCTAATTCATAAGTATATTCTAAGCTATTATTGTTTTGAGCTCTAAGTGAGATAATTAAAAGCATATAATTATTAATTAGGAACCTAAATTTTTATTTTTAGTTTTTTAGTTATAATATTAAGTTTAGTTAATAGTATAATAATTAGTGCTGGTAAGAAGAAAATAAGTGAAGAAATTTTCTAAAAAGGCTTGCGATGCAATTTATATAACTATGATCAATTAGGACCCTTGGATTCAATTACGCTGCGTTTGGTTGAGGGATTTAGGAAGCGATTTAGAAATGAAAAGGGAAAAAGTAAATGAAATGTGAATAAAATATACTTAGATTTCACATAGTTTCACACACATGTTCCCTTTTTCTGTCCAAATTCCTTCATAAATTCTCCAACCAGCTTTTTTAAGCCAACTTATGGCTTCTGGCTTTTAAAAAGTTATTTTGGACTGTTTGGTTAAACTTATTTCAAACAGCTTCTGATTCTAACAACTTATTTTAAGTCAAAAAAGCTGATTCTGAGAAGCTGCTCACCCCTTGCTTCTGATTATCAGCTTCTGCTGTGGACATGTTAATTCACGGTTATACTCTTAGATTTTTTTATTTTTTATTTTTTTAAAAATAGAAAAAGACTCAAATAGACTATTAAATATTATTATTATTTTTTATGAAAAATATAGACAAATAGTGAATAATAAAAAATAAAAATTAATTGAAAAAGCTACTTCACAGCTTATTTAACAAACACTACTCAGCAACTTAAATCTATAATCCAACAGCTATACCAAACAGATTAACCGCTTTTGATTAAAGTCATAATCTATAATCTGTTAAGCTATAATCTATAATCTTTTTTAACAGCTACACCAAACACCAGTGGATGAGATGGAAGCATGTGAGAAAGAGTGCTGGATGAATGGTTGGAGGGAGAGTGCAGGAGAGGATTCACTTCCCAGTTTCAGTCATTCATTGATTCCAATATGCAAGTAATTTTTTTTTTCTCACACTTCTACAAATTGTTTGTTTCATTTTACTATTAGCTAATTCAATTGAAAAGTTTCTGTTGTTTTTTTCCTCCCTTTCTACAATTTGAAGCTTTTTTATTTTTTATTATAATGATGCAATGTGTCTCATAATACATTTTTTCTGTCAATTATTAAAGGAAAGAAAAGTAAAATAAAAAATTCCCCACTCCCTACATCTTTTGCCCTCTATTCACCGTAGTTCCAAATTATAAGCAATTCCAAAATCAAAAATTCAAATATTTGCAGGTTCAATTAACTTTTTACTGTTCCACAAACTCTTCAATAACATGTTCACAGGTTTGTTTGATTGTTTCATCTTATTCTAGGAATTACTATTTCGTCTTCTTTTGTTCTTTTTCTTTTATCAGGTTTGCATGATTAGATCAAATTTTTGTCAACAGTAATTATGATTATAAAATTAAATTATTCACACAAATGTGATTTGATTAAGTGACTATTGATATTTGATCAACATGATTTTTTACAAGGATGAAGGACTCAATGCATCCTACACATTGAATGGTTTATATCGTCGAGACAGACTCAAAATGAGCATACAATGGGCTGGACTGGACTATCCCGACCATCCAAGTCATTTTTTTAAATCACAAACCAATGTTTCAAAATGCGTTATTACGTAACGGTTGCGGCCGTTATGTAACGGTTGCAGTGGTAGGCACCACACGTTACTCTCGCTTTTGCAGTGTGATTGAGATTCATAGGTGTGTCGGCCATAACGACTGTCGTAGCGGCCGTAACGGTGCCGTAATGGTCGTAAAGGCCCGTTACGCACTGTTACGCATTGGTTTGAGCTGTTCTTTTCAAAAAAAAACAAAAAACAAAAGAAAAATATGAAAAACTATGGATGCTCAATAGATTTTGTACATACTTTTATGGTTGAACAAATTTTGTCTTGAGTTCTTTTCAGCCCGTGAACCACTTTGAAGTAAGATTCCATAATATTCAGAATAGATCCACAACCCTTAGTCTTTAGAAACTCCCCAATTGAGATTCAGATCTTCAGATTCACAAATTTTCAACCATCTTCAACTGAGATTCTGATAAAAAAATAATGAAATGTGGTTCATAGGAAGAAGAATACAGAGAGAGAGGAAATACGGAGGAGTGAGAGAGAGAGAGAAAGAGAGAGAGAGAGAGAAGAGGGAAGAAGTGAAGAACCTGTGCTGAAGATGAAGAAGAAGATGAATAATATTGGATGCCTCTGTAAGGAAATGAAGAACCTATGTTAAACCTGTGACTCTGTAAGTGAAAGTTTTGTTCGGCTGCCTTTTTTTTGAACAATGGTCTCCAACTACCTCAAGAAGATATTAATATTATTTGTTTTGCTTGGTTGGCTCTGGAACTTTGATCTCCGGCTTCTTAGCTGCCTTTGGAAGGTGTAATATTGTTTTGTTTTGTTTTTGTTTGTGAAGTCTTCAACTGGCCTCTCTTCTTCTTTTCTTTTTCTTTTTTATTTATTTATTTATTTTTGAACAATGATCTCCAGCTAGTTTGTAAACAAAAAATAAAAAATTATGGTGATATATTTAGCAATTTTAATTTAAAATATATATAGCTAAGAACTTACTTAGCGTTTTATATATAATAATTAGTGATTGATTTTTTTTTTTTTTGTAATATCTAAAAATCATAACACCTATAATTATATTAATACATTTTATATATGTCAGTTGTTGTTTATTTATTTATTTTTTTTTGCATGTTATTCAAAAAGATAACAAATATTCAAGTGATTGAAGCCCAAAAAACAATTATGTATGATTTTTTTTATTTATAATTTATTTTAAAATTTTTATATGATTACATTAGTATGCAAAATCCAAATGTATAAATAGTGGTTGCATGTTTTTTATAATCATTTCATTTAATATTTAATTGTAAATATTTCTTATTTTGTTATTGTAATGTGTTGTGACAACAATTTTGATGGCACAATATTTTTTTTAAAAAAAAAATGTCTTTTCTATAAAATAAAAAAATAAAAAGACAATAGCTCAAAAAATGCCATCAAAAATGTCTTTTTATATGATTCCATTAGCATGTAAAATCTAAATGTATAAATAGTGGTTGTATTTTTTTTTATACTCATTTCATTTAATATTTAATTATAAATATTTTTTATTTTTTCATTGTAATGTGTTGTGACAACAATTTTTATGGAAAAATTTTCTTTTTTTTTTAATATCTTTTTTTTCTTTTTAAAAAAAATAGTTCAAAAAAAATTCTTTATAATTTACTTATTAATATTTATATGATTACGTTAGTATGTAAAATCCAAATGTATAAATAGTGGTTGCATTTTTTTTACAATCATTTCATTTAATAATTGTAAATATTGTTTATTTAGTTAGTTCAAGTTTTGCTCAAAAATAATTTTGTAAACATTTAAAATAAATTAAAAAATGTACAAATGATGCAAAATTCAAATTAAAAAATGCCACGACAAAACGGTGCCAATGATGAACCCCCAAGTAATGATATTGGTTGGAAATTTGGAACTCCAGTTGAAGGCACTATACATCATATTATTTGTAAATTTTGTGGACATCTCATTAAAGGTGGGATTATGCATTTCAAACAACACTTAGCACATCAAACGGGGCAAGTGCATTATTGTACTAATGTTAGTAAAGAAGTGATGCAAAAAATGATGAAACATTTATAAGATAAGAAAATGAGTAAAGTAGACAAACAAAAGAGAAAAACTGAATTGGAAGCACATATTAGCGGAGATGATCTCTATGATGAAAATGAAGAGGGAGATTTTGTAGATCTTCGAGATGATGACTCTGACTCTGATCCAGAGATGACCAGGGCTAGACAAGCAAGTATTCGTTCACAACAACAATGGGAGGAAAAAAAAAAATTTAGACGAGGTGCTGCAGGTCATGGATCACAATATGATGCAGGTGGTAGTTGGTGCAGGGGGTAGTGGTCAAAGAATGCCAAAAGGGTCAGGTATTGCTAATGTTTTTCGTTGATCACAATCTATGCATGAAACTGGTGGGAGTGGACGTAATTGGATTAAGCCCAATGCTCCTGAAGCAAGGTTGAGGGCAATGGATGTAGAACTCCAAAAGAGCAAGAGTACAAAACAGCGAAAAATCTCCACAATGAATTTACAGAAGCTAAAAGAGAGATTGGGACGGGCAGTGTCCAAGTTTATACTCTATAATCGTATTCCATTCAATGCAGTTGATTCAGAGTATACACAACCCATGCTTGATGTTGCTGCTGAAGTAGGGCCAGGAGTAAAGGGTCCTAGTGCTTATGAAGTTTCTGAAGTATATTTGGGCATGGAGCATGATGAAATGACAGAATGGATAGGATCATTCAAGGGAATTTGGGCAGAGAGAGGTGTATCCATCATGTGTGATGGTTGGAGCAGTCTAACTCGGCAACACATCATCAACTTCTTAGTGTACTGCAATAGAGGTACTATATTTCACAAATCAATTGATGCCTCTAATATTGTTAGTAGGACTGCTGAATATTATTTTGGGTTGTTAGATAAAGTTGTTGATGAAATTGGAGAACAATACGTTGTTCAAGTGGTAACTGATAATGAACCTGCACTGAAAGCAGCCGGTAAAATGTTAATGAGAAAAAGGAAACATTTATATTGGACAGCTTGTTCAGCACATTGTATCGATCTCATGCTAAAAGACATAGCCAATAAGAAAAGTGTAGCAAAGGTGATTGAAGATGGTAAAACCATCACCAATTTCATTTATAATAGTGGATGGGTGTTGGATTTAATGAGAAAATTCACTGGAGATGGAGAATTGATTCGACTTGCCATCACTCGATTTGCTACAAATTTTATTGCCATTGAGAGTATTGTTAGATATAAACAACAATTGAGAGCTATGTTTAATAGTGATGAGTGGAAGAATTCTAGATGGGGGAAGGCAAAGACTGGGCAGCCTTACAATGTGAAAAAAATTATTTTGGGAAAGGAGTTTTGGCAGAAAGCAACAGAGCTTTGTAAAGTTCATGAGCCCCTAGTCAGAGTATTGAGGTTGGTTGATGGAGATGAGAAGCCAACAATGGGTTTCATATATGAAGCTATAGATAGAGCAAAGTTGGCAATTAAAAGAGATTGTCGCTACTACACCGAGTATTGAAAAATTATTGATACTCGATGGTCTTTTCAATTGCATCAAGATTTGCATGCGGCTGGTAAGTGTTACGATTTCAATTATAAAATGTATATTTATTTACAATTATTAATTGTCTTCTTATTTTTGAAGGATATTTTTTAAATCCTCAATTCCAATATGGTGTTACCTCATCCAATGAAATGATAAGAGAAGTGATGGATGGACTTAAAAAAGTAATTACCAGACTGGAGCCTAATATGGATGCTCAAGTGAAAGCAACAAATCAAGTACGTACCAATTATTTAAATTTTAATAGTAATAATCTACTTTTGCAAATGTTACTTGTAATGATTGTCCAAATTGTAGTTGTTGCTGTTTCGAGATAAACAGGAAACTTTTGGCACTCCTTTAGCACAAAGAGCATGGAAACAATCAAATCCAGCTTTTATTTTCAAAATTACAAATTTACAATATATAAATACTTAAATAATTTTTTATCATATTTTGACTTATGTCTAATGTAATGTAATTTTGTGCAGCTGAGTGGTGGATTATTCATGGCAGTTGTGCTCCTGAACTTCAAAAAATAGCTGTGAAAGTATTAAGTCAAACCACCACATCATCTCACCGTGAACGTAATTGGAGTACTTTTAGTCTCATCCATACGAAGACGAGGAATAGATTGAAATATAAGAAAATCCAAAGATTAGTCTTCATTACCTACAACATGAGATTAAAATTGAGACACGTTAAAAGAAGCAGCCAAGAGGAGATTGATAGGAGTTTTAATCCTATTAACTTGGATTATATATTTGAAGAAGATGATCCAATAAGTCCATGGATAGAAGAAAGGGAAAATCCTTTGCTAGATGGTGTGGATAATTCTAAATGGCTAGATTTGGTTAAATTTTTATTTTTTTTTATCAATGATTTAATATTTATTTGTATAGTACATTTAGAGTTAGGTGTATTAAAATAAAAAAATTAATTAAATATTAAATTCACTAAGAAACAAAAATATAAAAATGAAAATATAAAACTCAAAACACATATTCAAAAAATCAAAACTAAAGATCACTCACCTACTTTCTGTCCCAACCCTTTCCTACCTGCTTTTGTCCTTGTCAAGCCCTCCCAACCTCATTCAACACCGTCATCCCCTTCCTCACCAACAGACCACTTCAACCCCCTCTCAACTATAGGTTGTCACCATGGTGAAGGGTGCAAAGGTTTGAAAAAAGCAGTTGCAAGTCGCCATTAATATGGTGGCCGTGGCACAATTGCGGTATGGATGTAAAGGCCATAGCGTAATGGCTACGGTATCTGGAACTGTGAATTTTTTTATTTTTCGCATAATTTGAAAAATTATGATCGATATGCATATTTTTTATTCTTTAGTCATGTTTATTGGGTTTAAAAATAACTTGATTAAATTCTTAATAATTTTAGGTATGATCCAATATATTTATATTTTTACAATCTTGTATATAATGAGTTTTTTTTTACATTTTATTTCAATAAATCGAATAGCTTTATAAGTGTCATAAATCCGTTGTTACACGTGTGGCAAAAATTTCTTTTATTGACTAGATGTATAAATTAGTTTTAATGTATTATACATTGTGGAAGCATATTGCAATTTTTAACTTTAAATAGTTTAAAAAGTATACATCCTTAATGGAAAACCTCAAAAGTACATAAATCATTACACAATTACAAAATAACAAGAGATTACATTTTACATAATGTACTACTAAATAATGTAAATGTCACCGCCCAAATTATAGTGACTGGTGCATCTTGGGATTCAAAATTGTTAAGCTTGATTGCTGCTGCTACCTTCAACCCATCCAGTGGAAGAATATATAATAAATGGTCATCATGTCATCCCTTTCTGTTTGTGCACTAGGGGAGAAAAATGATACTTGGTTGAAAGGATCAACATACTCTTCTTTGGGCTTTAGTAATTGCAAAGCTTATCCTAGAGGATCATGTGTTTTTTTCTGAGGGCCAAGGATAATTTTGGTTTGAGGTGGTAAGATAGCTCTGGCTATATCACTGTTATGGATGGGTAAGAGTGATATGTAAACTTTGACTACTATCAGATGAATCAAACCGTTGTTCTTTCTTTTATTCTTCTTTCATCTTTAAGTGTATCACTACCACGAAACCTTCTAAGTAGTTGGGTAAAGTGCAACAGGACATCATAATGTTCGTCCAACTTCGCATAATCCAAATCCTCCAATAAAAATCTTCACTTCTTGCACAAAACTAGTATCGTTATCACCATTGTCACCACTAACATCACCGAAGAAATCCCTACCTGTCACCCATCATCCACTTCCTCCATCAGATAGTGTTAACACCACCCACTATTGTCACTTTGAGTGGAATAAGCAATTGAGCCAATTTGAAGTGTGGAAGCTTGATATCTACTGGTGCCCTACCATCGTTTCCATCGTTGCCATCGTCATTTGCTATTGTTTGCCGCCATCACCAGCTCACCAGCCCTATCATCTGAGACCAAAATCCAG